AGTAACGTTTCCTCGTATAATAGTTATTAATCGTACAAGTAAATCGGTCATCCCCCTTCCCTCCCCCCCCACCCCCCCCCCCAAAAAAAAACCCAAATCGTTATATTTTGTCATTAAACAAAAAAAATGTCTCTGCCAAATAAATGGCCCCACAACATAGCTATGCTTCGCATCAGGAAAAGCAAACAGGGGACCTATGATGTTACCAAGATCGGCGATCGGGCAGTTCTTTGTTGTATGCTACACTGCTCCTGTGAAAGAAATCATCGTTGCCCATTTTTTCTCAAGTATCATGCATGCAGATGATACACAATATCACAATATAACCAACAAAAAGTGATCAAATGATCACAAATCTTGAACTTTGTCTCCAGAGATGAACACCTGTCCTCAAAGATCTTCACTGGGGATTGCCAAGGCAGTACCGGGTCCGCTACAATTTGATCATCACCATCTTCAAAGCTCTCCATGGCATCTGTCTAAACTACATTTTAGAAGTTCTTATAAATTACAACCCACCGAGTCGTCTACGGTCATCTTCAAAACACCTTCCCAGCATCTATCCTGGAGCAACAAAGGCCTATGGTGACAGATCAATGGCTTTTCGAACCAGCGATAGGTGATATGTTTTTTTTGCAGTTATTATCCCAAAGCATGAAACTCCTTACCCACTATAATAAAGAAATGCCGCACTCTCACATCTTTCTACCAGTGTCTTCAAACACATCGTTTCTAATTTCTTATAATATTCACCTCTGTTTTAATCAATGTATGTATGTTTAAGCATTGTATGATAATGTTATCTCTCTTTGTCTCTTTGTATTTCTTGTTTATGCACATTGTATATAATGAAGGGGCGCTTTATGAAACTAATAGTATTATTAGTATTACTTTATGTGTAGGTATCGGCCTGTGAAGGCACATATTAATGCTCTCTTGTTTCGAATACGATTTTTGATTTTAATTCGTTGTTTTAATTGAGGCATAAACTACATACAAGAACTCTTTGAAGAAGGACATTATTTTCCGTTTAACGACATATTAGTACGCCATGAAACAAGCTTTTTTTTTTTATAATATTAAGCTGAAGAACGCTATTCTAAAGATTCGTTCTAATTATTTAACAGACGGATACTCTTCACCAGGGAATCAAGTTCACCCTCTTGAAATTTCTTATTTTAGATTTAGAAGTTTTCTACAGTTTTGCAGTCTGATATCTTTTACACCTACATTTACTAACAGTCTCTTTTTTTCGGGAAATATGCTTAATAGAGACATTGATTGGTCTTCCGAGTTCGTATAGAAGGTAACATCGTTTTAAAGTGCAGTACAATAACTACCTGTCAGAAATAAATTTTACAAATCAGGTTTAGTAGACGACAGATAATTCACCCAGTGCCAGCTAATAGACGACAAAGTACATGTGTGTATTGAGCGCGAATAGAGGGGGGAAACAAACGTTATGCATAACAAATTGTGATTCATATCCTTTTTATATTGATTTTGCATAGATATTGTGTGTTTTTTTGTGGTGTAAATACAAAGTACTAGTCTCCCGGAATAAGAATTGTTTTAATGAAAATAAAGTTTTTAACTAATATACATATTTTAAAGAGAATATAACCAAAGATATAACTTATAATAACTTCAATTTCAAGATTCATGCATACACATGGTTAGAATAGACTGATTAAGCAAACTTACATTTATTTAATTTTCTTGTATTATGTTTCATTTAATTTTAGTTCACTTTTTTACCCTATTTGCCTCCTTCACAGAAGCTGATTTCGAATGCATCATGTTTTCGGATTGTCCTCGATAAGTTGGGAACCATTTAACGGATATTACAGAATCTAAGATAGGGTAAATTTGGGCATGCACGGTTAAACTAATTATAATTTGGGTTGAAGGAGTCAAGGATCAATGCCCACCCAGGTCGAAAATCCCATAGAAACCAGTAGAGAAAACCAGTACAGATTTCTAACGGTTTCTAGTGGTCAATTCTCTACTGGTTTCAATATGGAAAGTGGCGCTTTTTCCATTAGAAACCAGTAGAAAAAAATCGTACTGGAACCAGCAGAAGACCAGTAGAAGACCATTAGCAAAACCTAATGGCACCATTAGGAGACCAGTAGGAATCCCAACTGGAACCATTAGGAGACCAGTAGGAAACAAGTACAAATCCCCACTGGAACCAGTAGGGGACCAGTAGAAATCGATATAAAAACCATTAGAAGACCAGTAGAAAAGAAGTGCTGGAACCATTAGACAAGTAAAAAAGAAGTCATGGAACCATTAGGAGACCAGTAGGAATCCATACAGAAACCATTCGGATACCAGTAGAAAACCCCAATGGAACCATTTGGAGACCAGTAGGAATCCCAACTGGAACCATTAGGAGACCAGTAGGAATCCATACAAAAAACATTAGGATACCAGTAGAAGACCAGTAGAAAACCCTAATGGAACCATTAGGAGACCAGTAGGAATCCCAACTGGAACCATTAGGAGACCAGTAGGAATCCATACAGAAACCATTAGGATACCAGTAGAAGACCAGTAGAAAACCCTAATGGAACCGTTAGGAGACCATTAGGAATCCAAACTGGAACCATTAGAAGACCAGTAGGAATCCATACAGAAACCATTAGGATACCAGTAGAAGACCAGTGGAAAACCATTATGGAACCATTAGGAGACCAGTAGGAATCCCAACTGGAACCATTAGGAGACCAGTAGAAAACAAGTATGAATCCCCTATGGAACCAGTAGGAGACCAGTAGAACACAAGTAGGAATCCTCAATTGAACCACAGCATTGGTTACATTACATGGTTGACATTTTTTTGATCAGTTTAAATTCTACTACATCAATGCACTTCCAACACAGTACTCCTCACAAAATCTGCCAGCCCTTGTTTTTTTTTTTTTGTACTTTAAAAGGGCATGCTGGTCTGCAAAGTAGACACGAAAATGACAGGAGCTGGCATGAAGTTTGCTTCCAACACAATTAACTATTTTCTCGAGGTTCAGCCATTTCTCTCGCAAACGTCTGTTAACAAAAGATATCACAATCATGTTGGTTCATCTTTATCATATTTAACACTTAACAGTGTATCCTTTAATTATCTGTCAGAATATCATACATCATATAGTGATTACAATGACATGAACGTTTAAAAGCAAAGTTAACAGCTTAAATGAAAAAGGATTTTTTTTTTTACACATTTCAACAACAAAAGAAGAAATATAAACAAAAACAATGTTAAATTGGCTAATTATTGTCTAGAAATTATGGCCAGTTTTAACAAAGAGAAATCAATCTTGAAAATTTGGAGTAGATGTTTAAAAGAGTAGGTTTGGCAATTTGCAATAGTTATCTTACGGTAGCCATCATGAGTAGAAACAATGAGAAATAGTTTTTGCTGAGAAATTTCGTTAGTAATTTTCCACCATGGAGAATAAGTTCATTTGCACAAATTTAAGTACTTCATTCATGTATATTAAATAGAGAATAATTCACAAATGATTACGCAAAGCATGATTTTGACCTGTAGATTGTCATAGTACATGTAAAAGATTGATATGAAGTTGCAGCAATTGGAAATGTAATATTGTGTACTACATAATATAAGCCTACTACATTCACAAGCAAAACAAATTCATTTACGGTCTTACTATTTTGACAAGTGCTGTGATATGCTGTTCATCAATAAATGTAACTTGATAGTACAGTGTATTATGACAAATTATGACAAATCGATAAACAAATGAAATATGGTCCATATTTAAGAAGGGTTTGAATTTAAAAATGAAATAGATTTCATAATTACGAAAAATATAAATGGTGCATAATTCTGGAATTGAAAAAGGGGCGTTAATAACGATATTGAAATAGGGTTCATAATTCGGCAAATGAAATGGTATTATTTTGAATATGAAATAGGATTCATTATATTGACGGTTCGTAATTCCAAAAAGGATAAAGGGTTCTATTAGCATTTTCAGAATAATAAACTTTTGGAAGTATATTGAGCCCTATTTAATTTTCTGAATTATGAACCATATTTCATTTTTGGAATTACGAATCCTAGTTCATTTTCAGAATTAGGAATCCTACTTCATTTGTAGAATTATGAACCCTTTAGAATTTATAAAATTATGAACCCTCAGAAAACGACATAACAGTTCAAAGATTTCCTATCCATATGAATACATGTACTGTACGTAGGTCATTTTCGTATTGTAATCAAATTTAATGAATACGGTATTTCCTTGTGCCTCATTACCAATTATTAAATTCACCTGTTACGAATAAATGTATTTAAATAGTCAGAATACAAATTGAATACATTACGTGTTGCTAGTACTATAGGTAGGACAAACATTATGTCTTGCCCTACCTAACAACACATAATGTTTGCATATCGCATTCTGACTATTGAAATACAATTATTCTTAATAGGTGAAAGAGATAATTTGTACCGCGGCACTTTGATTTGATTTATAACGAAAATGGCCTAATCACATTATGTTACATAGGGCTTACCCTTTACACTTTTTAAAGGGAAATCCAACCTTAACAGACAACTATACTTTTAAAAAATAGCAAATTAAATCTGACAGAAAATAAGGTGGTTACGGATTGTTGAAAGCTGTAATCACTAAACCTAAGGGCATTTTAAATTGGCTGAATCGGTAATGTCACTAAAAGCCTGTTCACACCGCAATGAGATAGCGCGGTCTATCGTAGCACCCCCTTTTTTCTAGCGCGCGCTAGACCGCGCTATCTCTCGTGGACCACCCTCAAGAGGTGCTCCAGTGGCACGCCGTTTTGGCTCGCCGTGGCTCGCTGTTGGGCGGACCGAAACGACGTTGTACCTTCCAAACCGCAGAGATAGCGCGGTCTAGCGCGCGCTATCTCTGCCGGTGTGAACAGCCTCTATGACGAGCTGCTGGACTACTTTCCCATTTATTTCAACACACAAAATGATTTAAATATTTTTTTTCTTCAAAATGTATGATCCACGAGTGGCTTTTCTATGTAGAGGACTTGTAATAATGTGCTATTCATAATATATTTTGAGTAGTTCTCAAAGGGAGAAGGCACTTAAAATAAAAAGAGAATTTATTATATTTCATTAACAAATGGGAGAGTTGTCCCATGACTACAGGTGTAATAATAATAATAATAGTGGGTTCTTGTGTAGCGCTCATGTCAGTCAGATTTGACCCTCCTGGCGCTCCCGATTATTACCCTGGCTTTAGCACGGCTGCCATACGGCGCTCTAGCATTTCATTGAGATATGCATGGATTTAGTGATCTCATATTTATATATTATCACAACTCCCTTTATATTGGCCCGATTTATTTCAAACTTTCGCCTTTCTATTTCTCTTATTTTTCAGCTTCCATTTCAACGAACTTATTACAAGGGTTGGATTGTCTTTTAAGGCTCGTTCAGATATGATGCTGGAGTTGACATAAGGTTCTATATGCTTTACATTTCTATATATTATAATACAGAGATCACTGAATATGCGCAGTCCAAAATATACAAAAACATGTAGGTCCTTTGTTACCGTTCACTTTAAACATAAAACAAAACTGCAGCATTTTTGGAATTTTTTGGGCGGTTCACGTGCCATACCTGAATAAAGTCTTAAGTGCTTAAGATTGGAATCAATTTGTATTGCATCTACCTCATTCAATTTTTCTCTATTACCAACTTATATAATTTGCCACAGGTTTTAGGAATTGACATTGTGATATGAAGGGGGTGGGGTCGAGTATGAGACTGATCTACTACATAGCATTATGAAACAGGTCTACTTCATAAATAGTAATAACAAATTTACGCAAATACCAAGATCTTTTACCCAAAGGGTTAATATGTATGTTTGTAAACCCTGTAATTCATTAAAATGGCAAGTGACATGGATGGGCATCTCAGTTCTACATTTAAGCTATTCAGGTTCGTGGCTATAACTCATCCCCCCATCTCTCTCTCTTTATCTCTATAATGAAGGGGAAAGTAACCTGTGTGTGTGTGTAGACCTCATTTTGGAAATATTCCTCTGCAGCTTGGACTCATGGTTTAGATTTTGGGTGGAATCTCCTGTATAATGCAAGTGCTGCTTGATCCAGGGTACATACACGCAAAGAATTCTAATGCATGAATATAGAGCAAAAAGAAAGGAAAACAAGTTAAGAAAAACTTTTATCCATTTTAAAACCAGAATGTAAACAATGAATTAAATAATGAATTCTGTCAGAAAAGTGCAGTTTCAAAGATTTATCAGAAATAAAAATAATCTCTCATTGCTCACAAACATAATATAAAACATACCTTTGTATTTTAAACATTTGTTGTCAATGCAAACGTGAATCAGGATTTTTTTGCAAATAATTATCAATACAATCTAGTTTGCTGATGAAAGTAGAATCAAAGCTCTATTGCTAAGGAGGGAAAAGAACACTGTTTGAAACTCACAAAATATGGTCGGTTATTGCAATATACCTGCAGGTTTTAGTGATCTAAAATTAATTGAATTTTATATATTTGAAACTTAGGAAAAATAAGCATTTCGAATCAGTGTCATGATCAGGGAAAAATTAAAAATATATGTACAGAAATAATACAAGTACATCTACAAATTACCGAAAATGGCTTCAACTGTGTCACGAGGCTGCTGAATGCTGATCCAGGAGGTTGAGAGAAAGTAGCATTTTCTGCATGGTCTCACGTCAATATAGGCCTACTGTGTCCACAATATGCTTTGAATCCACTGTTCGGCAAAAAATGTCAAAAGATGCCTACAATTAATAACAACAAAAATAAAGTTAAAACAAATTGAACGGTTGATGCATGTGCAACACACATACATGTAGGCCTACTACAAAATTATTTGTACAGCCTGCGGGGGAGGAATTTTGTTTACCATTTACGGGTCTAGCTGTTATTATTTCCAGATGAGGGCTTCTGTTTATATTGTGCGAAACTGCGAACACACCATAAAGTGATTAAAGCCCCCTTCCCCGCTTGTCTTGAAATTAGGGTGCGTTGCAGAAACGGAGTACCGCCTTAACGCACTCTTTCGGGATAAGCGCGGGGGTGGGGCGGCTTGTCTGATTATCAAGATATTTATGATTGGAATTCAAAATTTCAAAAAACGTTTTCCCCAATGGTTTTATAACACTACAGTCTATTGGGGAAAATGAGTATGGTAAAACCGGTCACTCAAAAGTCAAAGATTTTTACTTTTTGAGGCACTTCATCAAGTTCATGATCATTTTGAAGCGCAATTTTGTTAGGGCTTCAATATTACACCATATCACTGACACTGATAATACGTAGGGCCATGCATCATAGATTTAACATTGTTAAACGATGCCTTTAAAGCCATGTGTAGGTGAATGCACAAACTTGCATCAAGAGCTAACATAAAAATACATGGATGGGACAATACAATACATTTCTCATCTTTGCGGCAGGCGTTGAAAGCACTCCTAGTAGACACGATCATACATTAATTACTATGTTTCAAAACAGAAAACAGTTACTGCACATATTGCAAATAAATTAGGTAAATCTAAGACTTACCCATATTGAAGAATAGCAGGGGAAAACAAAGTAATAACAAGATTTTGTCTCTCTGCTCTGGCTCCTGTAGCTGTTCAGGATAGGAATGGCTGTCTTGTGTGTGTGTCACATAAGGCATGGTCTGGCTGGGTACACGCACACACTGCATGCACTGATTACATGTGCACACACACACACACACACAGTGTTAGTGTAGCCCAGAGAGATGCCAGCTGTGTAGCCGTTTAAAAAAGGCGGCAGTCGCATTTTGGGGTTTTGGGGCTTGTATAGTCTTGATCAATATTGCAGACCTTACAGGGCATATGTCAAGATGTTGCACAATCTGTAAAATAAAACTATTAATATAATGACTAATGACATTTTAGAGTTTTTCATCCCTGTTTGGGGTTTTTTAAATAAATAAAGTCAGACTGATTCAGAGGCGGCGCTAGATCTTACTGATTTCTATTTGTTTCAACTGGTTTTCAAATCCATTGACATATGGGCTCGATCTGCTGGTTTGTAAAGGTTTCTAATGGTAATTGACTTAAGATTTTTACACCCATGTTCAAACCATTAGAATCTACTGGTTTCTATCGGATTCTAGTGGTCTTCAAAACCATTAGGCTCTACTGGTTTTGTAAAGGTGTCTAATGGTTTGACTTAAGATTTGTGCATCCATGTTCAAACCATTAGATCTTACTGGTTTTTATTGGTTTCTACTGGTCTTCAAACCATTACAGTCTACTGGTTTGTTAAGGTTTCTAATGGTTTGACTTAGGATTTTTACACCCATGTTAAAACCATTAGATTCTTCTGGTTTCTATCGGACTCTAGTGGTCTGCAAAACCATTAGGCTCTACTGGTTTTGTAAAGGTGTCTAATGGTTTGACTTATGATTTTTACACCCATGTTAAAACCATTAGATTCTTCTGGTTTCTATCGGATTCTAGTGGTCTTCAAAACCATTAGGCTCTACTGGTTTTGTAAAGGTGTCTAATGGTTTGACTTAGGATTTTTACACCCATGTTAAAACCATTAGATTCTTCTGGTTTCTATCGGATTCTAGTGGTCTTCAAAACCATTAGGCTCTACTGGTTTGTTAAGGTTTCTAATGGTTTGACTTAGGATTTTTACACCCATGTTAAAACCATTAGATTCTTCTGGTTTCTATCGGATTCTAGTGGTCTTCAAAACCATTAGGCTCCACTGGTTTTGTAAAGGTGTCTAATGGTTTGACTTATAGATTTGTGCATCCATGTTCAAACCATTAGATCTTACTGGTTTCTATTGGTTTCTTCTGGTCTTCAAACCATTATAGGCTCTACTGGTTTGTTAAGGTTTCTAATGGTTTGACTTAGGATTTTTACACCCATGTTAAAACCATTAGATCCTACTGGTTTCTATCGGATTCTAGTGGTCTTCAAAACCATTAGGCCCTACTGGTTTGTAAAGGTGTCTAATGGTTTGACTTAAGATTTTTGCATCCATGTTCAAACCATTAGATCTTACTGGTTTCTACTGGTCTTTAAACCATGACAGTCTACTGGTTTGTAAAGGTTTATACTGGTTTTACTTCACAGTTCCTCCTGATCACCATTAGACTCTAATGGTTTCTTGAAAACCAGTAAAACCATTAGAATGTCTCTACTGGTTTCTACTGGTTTCTAAAGGAATTTCGACCTGGGCACGTGGTCGTAAAGGTCTTTGAAAATGCGAGAAAATATATCATTATTGTGATAATAAAATAAAATTAATCCAATATCGGCCGAGCTGGGCTAAAGTACGTAAAACAACTTCATACATTTAACGATAGGCATTTGAGTCCGTGCGGTCAGATGTTAAACGACACATAATGAGATATAATGCATTAGCATTTAGGCAGAGGCGCATTATTTTTCTTGCTGTTTAATTTATTTATGTTATATGTATTTTTATTTAGTTTCGTTTAGTTTATTTAGTTTACCTTACAATACGTTTGTTTACTCGTTCAAATTAAATAAGTTAAGTTTACTTTACTTTATATTAGTTAAGTGGTTCAGTTAATATATTTTGTTTTGATTTACTTTTGTTTCCGTTTTACTTTCGTTTACCTTATTACCAAACAAAGAGAAAACAACCATTCAAAATGAAAATACAAATATGACATTTAGTAAATGTGAGACAAGCTCTAACACTTTGTGTGGCGTAGAATTTCCTTGTAGGTGCCAAGGGCTCACAAATTAGAAATGAATTATCGTGGGCAAGTCAAAGATATGTCCCATAGGTTGCCAGATATTGTAAGACTCTAAGGGAATTTAAAACGTAGATTGACGTAATACTTTCATGGCATTATTCGATTTGATATGTTGTCTTAATCGAGTACAAGTAAGACTACGTTCATGATACAGTCATCAGAATGTACTACAATCTTAGAAGTACATGTAGTGGTTAACGTATGGGACTCAAGTTGGGACCTGCTCTTTGAAGATTTGACCGTGTATATGATAAGATGCTCGACATATTGGATTAAAATTGGTTTTTAAGACACTATTTATCTGTCAAATCAAATTGTTCCTATCTATATCCTTAGAGATTTCAAACATTTATTTGAAAATAATCACCTGGTTTGTTACATCCGACGAATGCTTGGTATTTATAAGTCGATGTAAAAAAACGTGCAGCCTTGGTGGTGCGAAACCCCGTAAGCGCAAGAGTACACGTTCGTCATACTGTATGTTTAATCCCTTATTTCAACTCACGAAATTGACCCCTACCTGGCATTTTATTTATTTAATTTATTCACATTTTGCGAAAGAGCGCTCCCAAGTCCCCGCACTGCACTGTCAGCTGCATGCATGTTGTGTATGTGTAAATGTCACTCAAACGCCTAGTATTTCGTCACAATGCCCGATATTGAGGAGAATGACCTACTTGATTTAGACATCGAAATTGGTGAAAACAACTTCCCATCACATCAAGGGACAGTAATATAGTGATAGTGATGATGATGATGATGATGAGGTTGTAGGAGAGGTGGAAGGAAAGGGAAGGCTAAGCGAAGAAGAAGACGACATTTATCGTACAGCTGCGGGGTAAGTTATAGCCTATCTGCACGAACATGAGCCCCGGGCGCGGGCTGGTGGGTGCGGTAGAATGTCTCGGTTCGCCTGTGAGTAGCGGTCGGTAAAAATACTGTGAACTAGACCCAAACTGGGTGATATATTTTGTCATTCTTAAAAAGGTTTATGATCATTCTTCACAAATATCAAACAGGTTATGTCTTAGACGAATCAATGTGGGATTCAAACCTGGAAATATTTATTACAATGACATTACAACTACATCAGAAAAGGAACTGTGCGGCATCATAATGATTTTCAGTCTCTGGATTGATAACGAAAGCGATTGAACTACATAGAAAATCAACTTCATATTCATCATCATCCCTATTCATAGGATGACATCTCAACAAACGCCAAAAAATAAGTTATTTGGAATCATCAAAATACTTACATTATACAAATGGCATAACAAATTTAAAGTTTAATGTCCTGAATTCGAGAAATGTCTAGTTCACTTTCACTATGCAAATTGTACGTACATTAATTATGTAGGTGAGTTTCTTGCTCTGGCTCCCTGCCCAATGTGTGACGTGACATTTTTGTTCAGGACTCGTATATTTCGGGTTTGAAGTACAGCTGGAAGGGTCTTGAAAAATACTTAATATATATGTTTAAATTTATATTTACACAAATTTAAAGCAAATGCTTTATGTTCTCAATGATCTAAGCTATCCTTTAAAGTATATTTAGCCCATTTTACGAAACTTCTTCGCACACCTGCTTCAATAATAGACATAAAGTATAATAATACAATTATTTTCCAAAACAAGGTAAGTTAACATTAGGGTCAAAGCAATTAAATTTGAGTTTCTGGGCATTTTCCAATTATGACTTATATTATTAAAGATATAGTTCAGTTCTGGTGATGCAATTGCATTGTGAAAGAAACGGTGTGGAATCGATACAAAAGTTGATAATGTAACATCCAAGTATTGGTGTGAACTGCAAGGTTCTAAAGTCATCAACATGATAAGAAATTTTGCCCAGTCTTGGTAAAGTAACAAGCACTGTACACAGAAAGATGTATATGGGACAACGCAAACATATGGCATCAAAATCCGGTCTTATGTTTAAGATTTTAATTTTCATATTTAGAATATAAAGGCATTTGAAGAGCCATGCTTTTCAGGAGAGATTTTTGTCTGCTGTTCTTTCACACTTGCACAATTACAATGATAACTGTCACAAATTATTTGTCACCTTTCCCAAAAACTCAACCTTCTTTTCTATTGTCTAACTGAAATATATATGGCCCGGAGTGCGACGAATGTGAGATAAGGTCGTGTTTTAGTTCATTTGTATCCTGTGTCATACTGGCGTTTTCTCATCCTCTCTTTCTCTTTCTCTCTCTCTCGCTCTCTCTATCTCTCTTTCCCTTTCTCTGACTGACCATATGTCTGCCCTCCCCCTTTCTTTCCTTTGGACGGAGTTACTTCGGGTGCTGCCTGAAATCCTCGAGTCAGCACTGTCATGTTGATTCTTGGAAATCCCCATCGGTGGATTTACAAAGACCGATCCAAACATCGGGTGAAACTGACAGTATACCTGCCCAGGTCGTTTCTCAGTTTTCTGATGGGCTTAAATCCTTTAACCCTAATAAGGCCGGGCTATTTGAAGTCTTACTACGGCCGCCCCCCCCCCCCCCCCTAAGATCTCGGCCGGGAAAGGGCCGATCTCCGCGAAAATTTGCACGCATGTCAAGTGAAGTGTACAGAACAATATGATAATTTCAATTTTTTGAAAAAATCACTCATTTGCATATTTATGGTAATTTATGCAAATAACGTCATAAAATCACATTTTTACCCATAAATCATATATTATTCATATTTAAGCATTCTTTTTCACTACATATATTCATTAGACCATTTGGAACAATAATACGACACAAAAATTTGGAAGAGTCAGCTTATTCCTTATGTTATCTCTTGCTTTGATAATTTCTTATGTATTTCATTGTTTTTTTTAACTTATTTATGTTATTTTTTTGTTTTGTTTTTAATTTCTTCCTACAATTAA